TGTGCAGCGCTGCTCCCCCCTCCCCTGCCACTGGTGGCCTCCCTCTGCAAGCGACAGGCAAGGGGTGTGATGGCTTGGCTGGCCTGGGCCTCCCTCTTTCTTTGCTGGGGGGCGGGGCCAGCCCTGCAAGGGGATGTCTGCCTACCTGATTGCCCCTAACTGCTTGCTTGGGGGCGGGGCCAGCCCGGCGAGGGGCCGGAGTCGTTCTGGTCTCTGGTCATTCTGGTCGTTATGCTTTTGGTGGCTGGCCTTTTATTATATAGGATTACTGGTTTTGTTAATCCTCACCCGAGGATATTTTTCCATTGATTTTTAGGGAGAGTGGAAGAGAGAGGCAAAAGCAGAAAGAAACATCGATGTGAGAGAAACACATCAACTGGTTGCCTCCTGCATACGCCCCAACCAGGGCCCTGGCCAGGGAGGAACCTGCAACCAAGAATACATGCCTTTGACTGGAATTGAACCCAGGACCTTTTTTTAAAGATTCAATCTTTCTTTTCTTTTTATTGATTTCAGAGAGGGAGGGAGGGAGAGAGAGAGAGAGAGAGAGAGAGAGAAGTGATGAGAGAGAATCATGGGATTGGCTGCCTCCTGCACACCCCCTACTGGGGTTGGGAGACCGCAACCTTGGACTGGGATCGAACCTGGGAACCCTTCAGTGCCGCAGGTCGATCTTCTATCTACTGAGCAAACCGGCCAGGGCCACAGTCACTACTTTTTAACAGGGAAAGCTACTGAGTGTGTATGCACCATCTTTCAGAGGCTGGTATTTTCAGAGGCAGGAATAAAGGCCTCAAGTGTCCTTTAATTTTGGCTCCCTTCTCCTCTCCCCCTGGCTTCTGATCCTCCACCTCTAATGATTATGGGGACACAAAATCATTTCTGAATCTGAAGCCTTGAAAGATGACAGCTGACTCCATTTGTCCAGCAGACCATCATGGCCCTGCCTGGCTCTAACTTTGGGGGAAATGTCCTGGTGTCTCAGGTCCTATTCCTTGGCAAGGAGTAGGCAACTGATGGGCCAGCTGCCCCCCTAGGTAACATGGAGAGTAGCTAGAATTCAAAAGCAAGTGTTTAGAGAAGAATGACAGCTCTAAACCAACCAGTCACTTACTGAGTATCTGCTATGTGCCCTAGAATCTCCTGGAACTCAACTGTGAGCAAATACGAGCCCTGCTCTTGTGGGTCTCATGGGCTGGTATGGGAGAGAGACACAGATGAAACAATCTCACAAACATATGTGGTGCACTGTAAAGTGGAAGAAAAGTGTAGTGAGTCATGCCAACAGGGCCTTGGAAATCTTCCCAGTAGGGTTCAATCTCTTCCTAGCTCTGGTGGGTTAGTTCTCCTAACTAAACCTCCTTCCTTCCACTGTGTTCGTTTGGCTTCTAGAGCATGTGTACTGCAGGCTCCCCCAGGCAGGTGGATTTTGCTGCCTTTCCGATTCTTCCAACTATGATTGCTCTGACCAGGGAGTTTTCATAGTGTGTGTCTCATGGATCACCTTTGAAACATGAAGGCTTATAGGATGAGGCCCACCAAACGAGGTACGCTTCCCTGAATGCATCATGTTTGCTCCTGCTTCCTGGGCCTCTGTCCAAGCACTCTGGCTGCCTAGAATGCTCCATATATCATACTTGCTCCACCTTCCCTAACACCCCAGAAATGCTCAGGGCCCTTTTCTGCACTCCCCCAGCAGCACACCGTACATAATTCTGTCTCAAGTTTCCACACAGGAGATAGCAGGATGTGATGTTAAGGGCATAGTGCCGAAATCCCAGTTTCTCCAGGTTGCCTGGAAGGTTAAATGAGATACTATGTAAATGGCGCTTGGCACAGGGCCTAGGACAGTGATGGCGAACCTTTTGAGCTCGGTGTGTCAGCATTTTGAAAAACCCTAACTTAACTCTGGTGCCGTGTCACATATAGAAATTTTTTGATATTTGCAACCATAGTAAAACAAAGACTTATATTTTTGATATTTATTTTATATATTTAAATGCCATTTAACAAAGAAAAATCAACCAAAAAAATGAGTTCGCGTGTCACCTCTGACACGCGTGTCATAGGTTTGCCATCACTGGCCTAGGACATGGCATGGGCGTGATCAGTGTGCACTAGTGGTTCTACTTCTTGTCTTGAGATGTAGAGAGGGTCTTTAGATGCAGAGCAGGGACCACCTTTGACATTCCTTCAGACCCCAATATCTGACTCAACTTCCAGGATGGGGCTTCCCCCAGAATGATCAGTATCTATATTCTGCATAAGAAAGTTGAGATCATGTTCCCCCTTGGCCCCTGTACCCATCAAAGCACATACACAAAAACATAGACCTGTATTCCAGTCTAGGGTAAAAGTGCATTGCTATTGTCCACAAGCCCTCCCTGGGAGCCTTCTGACCTCACTGCCTCCACACAAGGTCCCACCCTGGGGAGCCTGTGGGGTTCATTTCTTGTGTACCTCATGACCTTCAGCAGTCTTTTCATTCACTTTTTCCCTTCAGCAAGTGGGTAGAACAAACTTCTCCCTACTCAGCATCAGGGGTCCATGTAGGGGGTGGGGGTGGGCACTGCCAGCAAGCAGGCCTCCTACTGCCCTCTGTCCCCCAACACAGTAGACTATTTCTCAGCCCTGATTCAAGCTGGCTTCCTGAGGGGCAGCATGGCCACAGAGATATTCATTAGTGAGGCATCAACTAATTACAACCAGGAAACCAGGGTGGCTAGTGCTTCTGCTAGCACCCATAGATGGGTGACTGCCCTCCTGAACTCCATTGACTCCTTCCACACCGTGCCCAGAGACAGTCAAAGCCACATCCTAACCTCACTGGCTCCCATGCAGTACAAACTACTGTTCTAAGGATTTATCCCCCCATTTTCCAGGTGGAGAAGTTGAAGTCCCAAGCCAAGATGTGCTTATTTCTAGGCCATCCAGAATACACTGGTGAACACCCACAAAGAAGCCTGGTCCTGTTTACTTGGGATTGTCTAGGAATGCTTATGTAGCTTGAAGAAGCCTCGATGGGCAATGCTAGGGCTGGACTGATCTGGAAATTTGCATGGGGGGAGGCCCGGGTCTCCTCCTTACTCCCTGCAGCCTGGCCATGCCAGCTTGCCAGTTCTGTAATCTCCTGTCTTCTCTATCTCACCTCATTCTTGTGCCAGGGCCAAGCCACCTGCAGTTTTTTCAAACCACCAGCAGTTAACCGCAGAAGCTCAGGGGAACCCACAGGTTGGACCCAAGGGCGAGGGTGGTGGGGTGGCAGAACAGACAGGAAGAGACAACACAACCCAGAAAGACACAGGCACAGGGGCTTTTAGCTCCATCACAGCCTAGCTGAGGGAAAAAAACAGCCCATTTCCCCCTTCTGAAAATATTCCTTAACAAAGAGCTGATTCTGACAGGCCCAAACCCAGACACGCGGGGTCCCAGATGCCAGGAGAGGAGGAAGCTGTTTCATTTTGGCATAACATACTGGTTGTGGGTGAAAGAACTCACAGGGACTGTCCATCTCCTACTCTCAGCACTCCTGGGGTCCTGTGGGTGAAAGAACTCACAGGGACTGTCAGGGGCTGGGCTGCCCCTGGGCACCAGCACTGGCCCTGCCATCTGAGTAGGTGGGTGTGATAGGGTCAGCATGCTGGTCCTACCAGTCTGGTCAGACTTCAGGACCAGGAGCAGTCTGAACTCCTCTTCCTCGCCAGGGGGTGGGGATAAATTAGGGGCCAGGCAGCGGTTCTTTTAGGGGGACGGGTGTAGGAGAGAGAGTGTCCTTCCCTTGGAAGAAGGGCAAAGTGGGGAGAAACAGATAAAGGGGAAGAAGCCTGCAGCAGGTGTCCACTGGGTTGGGAGATTCTGGGTCACCCAACCACCTCCAGGGTTCCAGTGGGGATGCTGCCTCAGGTAGGCTGGTGTGGCTGGACAGACTGGCTGCCTGGGGCAGGGCAGTCAGCTCACACATCTGAGTCTCTGCCAGAGCTGGGAGCACTGGGGACTCCAGGAGGACCTGCGAAGGGAAGGCCCGAGAAGGGGTGTTGAAGAGCCCTGTGTGAGAGTGTGTGTGTGTGTGTGTGTGTGTGTGTGTGTGTGGTACCAATTGCCTGGTCTGTGTTGGAGGTCTGAGTTTCTCTGTGTATGTTGGGGATCCAAGTGTCTGATGTGTGCCTGAATGTTTTTTGGAGGGTGGGTGGGAGGGGTTTCATGGGTATTCTCTGTTTGGGAACTGTTGGCAGTATGTGTGTGCTGTGCGGGGCTCTCAGAACAACTGGGGGGTAGTGCTGAGCATGAGGTGAGGGTGGGCTTCCAGGAAACAGGGATCAAGACGAGTCAAGATCAGGGGTATGTGTGGAGCTCCTGGAGTGTGCGGGGAGGACCCCAGGAGTGCTGAGAGTAGGAGATGGCCAGCAGGCTGAGGTGAGGCCTGTGGGCAGGAATCCTAATTTACAGAGGCTAGGCAAGGGTCCTGTGGGTCAGAAGGGAAGGGCAGGGAGGACTCTGAGGCTGGTATCCCTGAGGATGGGGGTGGGTCTAGGCCCAGAGAGAGGATGGGAAGTGAGAGGAGGGGCAGGGTGGTAAGGGGTCTGCAGATGGGAGAGATCCTAAGGGGTGGGTGGTGTCCTGGGCGCGCAGGGGGAAGGTCTGCGGGGTCGGGGCTGGGGAGGCCCTGCAAGGTCCTGGGAGGGGTCCTGAAGGTCAGTAAAGAGGGTGGGCGGGGGTCACGGGCCTGGGGCACTCCCTGGGCGGGGCGGGTGGAGGTGGGAGGCGCCCGAAAGGTCCGAGGAAGGGCCCTGAGAAGTCGGGAAGCGTCGGGAACGAGAGTGGGTGGAGGTCCGGCCCGAGGCTGACAACCAGGGTCCGTGCTGGGAGTGCAGAGGGTTCCCAGCGCGGCTTCCGGGGCGAGGCAGCCCGACTCCCGGTCTTGCCTGGCCCCGGCGGGCCGCAGCGAGAAGCCACTTGCCTGTGAAGGGGCCCGGGAGGCCCGGGCCACGCCGCCTCCCTACCTGCGCCGAGCGCGCCGCCATCGCCGTGCCGAGCCTTGCCGTCCCGTTAGCCCCACAGCTGCCAGCCCCGCAGCCCTGGCCCAGCTCCCTTAGCCGCCCCCCGGGACCGCTGCCCCGGCCGGCTCGCCGCTGCCATTTCACCCGCTGACAGGAGCCGCTGCCCCGCCCCCAAAGCCCAGTCAACCAATTCACCGCCCCCAGTTACCATGGCTCCGCCCACAGACCAGGAGTGACGGGATATTTGGCCATTCCGTAAGGAAGGCCCTGACTACGGCCAGAAGGTTGCCGCCTCTGAGGAGAGAAGCGAATCGAAATTAGGGAAGTAGTGAAGGATGGGTGCTTTTGCCTATCGGAATGTGTAATCCTGTTGATCAACACCTGTCGTGGCCAATAGCGAGGAAAGAGGGGTGTGTCTCTGAGAGAAGGCTGTGGCCCTGAGAACCCCCTACTGAGGCAGTCAAGCTTTTGGTACTAAGCCCCGCCCATAACCGGCTTTCGCCCAATAAAGAGACGTCCTGATATGTCCATTATCGTCTGTCCCTCAAACCAAGCCTTGGCAACTGTTGGGACTATATAAAGAAGATTGACAACTGAAGGAGGGCGATGAAGTAACACTCTGTGGCCAATGGGATCGTGAGATTGGTGTGCGGTTAACCTCTGGGCGGTGGGACTTGAAACCTACATTGAATGACATAGGGGAGGGACTTGGGGGCGTGGCCTAGACAGCGATGGGGCGGGGTCAGATAAGGGAGAGGCTATGGGTTGAGTCTGAGGAGAGGCCTTGCCCGAAATCCCTGAAGGGGAGATGATGGGACGCATCTTCCTGGAGCCCGACCCTGTGCTGGGGGCGGGGCGGTAGGGGATGGGTCACACGGAAGATTCAGGCTGGTCCCCTGCCCAAGTCTATTTTGGCCGGGTCAAGTATCTTCTCTGAGGCTCACACTGCCTTATGTTCCCCCAGGCTGTGCTATCACTGCTGCACTCCTCCCATCCCCCACCCTCCCCAGACTGATGGCTGCGGGGGTTGGGGGGGCGATTAGGGGACATGTAGGGCCTAAGTCAGGTCTCACTGTTGAGCAGGGGCCTGGCACATGGGAACTGCTTATAAATGTTTGATGAATGAATGATTAAATGAATAGTGGGCCCAAGACAGGGAAGGGAAGAGCGGGGGTGGGGTGGGGGTGGGAGGGATCACTCAGCTGGGGAGGATATGTAGGGACAGTCACTGACAGAAGGCAAGACTTAGCAAAAAGGACATATATTTCACCCCAAGATGCAGGGATGGACCTTGCAAGGGTGAGGCAGGGAATGACCCTTTCATAAGAGGGTGACATCATAAATTCAGAATGGAGACTGATAATTGGAAACAGGAGGACTGGGACCAGAGTGGGACGTTCCAGGACCTTCTAAGGTCTAGATCTCAACCTTCTAAATAGTAGGAAGTTCTGTCTGGTTTGGGGAGCAATGACTGACATCCTTTGCTCCCTGTCCCTGACCATCTTTCTACACTCTGTCCCATCTACATTTTGTTTCTGTCTACACTTTCTCTGCTGCTGTCTCTACTCTTCCTTTGCCTCTTTTTTTTTAAAAAATATATTTTATTGATTTTTTACAGAGAGGAAGGGAGAGAGATAGAGAGTTAGAAACATCGATGAGAGAGAAACATCTATCAGCTGCCTCCTGCACACCTCCCACTGGGGATGTGCCCGCAACCCAGCTACATGCCCTTGACCGGAATCGAACCTGGGACCTTTCAGTCTGCAGGCCGACGCTCTATCCACTGAGCCAAACCGGTTCTGGCTCCTTTGCCTCTTTATACCTTTCCTGTCTCCCTCTCTCTTACTACCTACATTGTATCTATGAAAATTCTGGAACTGTTAAGAAAAGCCCCAAAACATATTTCTAAAAACTCAGGTGGTAAAAATAAATATGCATTCTGTCTCCCTCACAAGCCCATAGCTCCCTCCCTCATTTTCTTTCTTCTTCTTCCTTTTTTTTTTGTTTCCTGAAAGAACAGATCTTTACCTCCTTCCTTTAAAAGTCAGCTTTTGTGTTGGGCATTCTATAGTCCTGACAGTTACAAGGTGACTTTGGATTTAGTGAGTTTGAAGTTGAAATGAATTTATGGACATTGTCTCCTGATTTCTGGGTGGGCCTAGGAGAGGGGGTCACAGATCCCCATGGACATGGTTGGAGATGGGACAAGGGTGTTGAGTCAGGAGGGCAAGGGTGACATCAGGATGTGGTGGGGGCCAAGTAACTAGGGAAGGACAATCCCTGAGCGTGGAAGCCTGAGGAGCCATCATGAGGGCCAAAGTCTCAGGGTTTGCCCTTGTTCCCAAAGGTTGTCTCTCAGGAAAGAACAGTTTGGTATGAGACACAACTTCAGAGGAACAGAGAAACCTGGACTGGTAGCCAAGATGTGGGAACTGCAGAGGTACAAGGGCCCCCCAGAAAGAGGTCATAACCAGTTTGTTCTGGGGCCTTGCCTGGGAGATAGGGACATCTAGTGGCTAGGAGATAAAATCAAACACCAGCCTGGCTGGTGTGGCTCAATGCTTGAGTGTCAACCTATGAAACAGGAGGTCACAGTTCGATTTCCGGTGGGGTTACCCGGGTTGTATTCTCAATCCCATGGGTGTGCAGAAGGCAGCCCATCAATGAATCTCTCTCATCATTGATGTTTCTATCTCTCTCTTTCTCTCTGAAATCAATAAAAATATATTTTGAAAAGTCGAACACCAGGAAGATGCACAGGATATTTAACCCTCTCATTTTTATACTGCCATTTCCACACAAAGGATAGTTTAATTCTGGGGACAATTTGATTCCAGTTTAATAAGCATTAATGGAAAAAAAAATCCAGCAAATTTTTGTTGGAAAATACTTTTGAATCATAAATTGCACTTAGCCAATTAGATTCCTAGATCACTTTTCTATTCAGTGCAGTTAAACCCTTCCCAAATTTTTCTCAAAGTTCATTTTTACTTGATTGAAATAATCTTATGAGGAACATTTTTTTCATGTGACTTTTTAAGTAAACATTTGATTCATCAAGCAGTCTCCTTTGTCCAATTTTTACCAACTGTTGATTCTATCACTGTGATTTTTTGTGTAATTGTCATTTCCTCAGAGTCAAGTTTTGCATATTTAAATTTATTGAAATACTTTCTCTCTCTCTCAGTATTCAGCCATAACAAATTTTAGCACAATCAAAAATTTTTTCTGGGTTAAACTTTCTGGACTCAATTCATTTGTTGTAAATATTGATTAATGTGAGTTGCACCTCATGCTTGTCGCATAGAGAGCAAATTAGGCTATAATTTAAAAAATATATTTTTATTGATTTCAGAGAGGAAGGGAGAGAGAGAGAGAAAGAGACATTAATGATGACAGAGAATCATTGATCAGCTGCTTCCCTCACACCCTCTATTGGGGATCAAGCCCACAGCCCCTGCATGTGCCCTGACTGATAATCGAACTGTGACCTCCTGGTTCATAGGTCGATGCTCAACCACTGAGCCACGCTGGCCAGGCCATTTTTAATTTTTTGAGATAATTCCATATTGCTTTCCACAGTGGCTGTATCAATCTGCATTCCCACCAAGACAGTTCCCCTTTCTCCATGTCCTGGACAACACTTGTTATTTGTTGATTTATTGATAATAGTCATTCTGACAGGTGTGGGGTGATATTATTGTGGTTTTGATTTGCATTTCTCTGATGATTAGGGACATTGAACATCTTTTCATATATCTATTGGCCATCTGTATGTCCTCTTTGGAGAAGTTTTTATTTAGTTCCTTTGCCCATTTTAAAAATTGTATTGTTTGTTTTTTTGGTGTTGAGTTTTATAAGTTCTTTATAAATTGTGGATAGTAATCCTTTATCAGATGTATCATTGGCAAATATGTTCTCCCAGTCAGTGGGTTGGTTGTCTCTTCATTTAGTTGATAGTTTCTTTTGCTGTGCCAAAACTTTTTAGTTTGATGTAGTCTCATTTTTTTCATGTTTTCTTTTGTTTCACTTGACCAGGAAGATATATCAGAAAAAATATTGCTATAAGAAATGTCCAAGATTTTACTGTATATATATATATATATTGTATGTGTGTATATATATATTTCTTGAAATTGGAAAGTGTGAGTTCTCTGACTTTGTTTTTCTTTTTTAAGAAATATGATGTTAGCTGTCAGGCAGAAGAGCCTGTGAAAGAGGTGGAGCGGGAGCAGCCTGGAAGGTAGGAAGAGTCCTAGGTGAGAGTAGGGCTCAAGCAAGGAGAAGGGAATGGCTGTCCCTATCAGGGTAGGACCAAGACAAAAATGGATCTGTTGGTTTGTTCTGGGGGAAGGTAAATTCTGTCATTGGTCATTTTTGGAGAGTGGTGGGAGGTAGAGCAGCCAGGAGAAGGAAAGAGAGAGGAGGTGACGGCAGGAATGAGGACAACCCTTTTCTGAGTTGTTTGGTGACACCTAGAGGACTGGGGAGGTTTTTCCCCAAAGATGAGAGAAGCATAACCAAGTTCCTAGAAGTCTCCTTGTTCCAGTATGCGGGGCACAGTGCATCTGCAACACAAGGAATGGAGCCTTTGGGGCTGAAAACAGCAGCTGACCCAGGAGCCAACTACTGCAGGGCAGGTGTCTGGGCATACCCTCCTTCCCAGGGCTCTCCAGGGCAACAGTGACCAGGAGGGGCTAAGGAGCAAGGTGAGGGAAATGAGCAAATCTGGAGGACCGTGACATCACTCTCAAGAACAGGTAAAATGTCGGAGAGGTGGGAGAAGGGCGGCATGCCAGGCAGAGGTTCTAGTGGCTCTAGCCAGTGCTAAGGCAAGGAGGTAGGAAAGTTTGGTATCTGTTCTGTAAACATGTGTTGAAGCCACCTCAAACCTCTGGGTGGCGCTGTCTAGCCTGGCGAGACACCCGAACAAGCTGCCTGTTTTTAAATTTATTTTTCCTGAACAGGTTTTATTACACACAGAGGGGATGGGGCTCAGTCCTTCTTGGTTGCTGCTTTCCTCATGGCAAGGACATTGCTCAGCTCCTCTCTTCCTCTTGACATAGATGTGTGTCCCCTTTTCTTTCTTTCTTTCTTTTTTTAAATTTTATTTCAGAGAGGAAGGGAGAGGGAGA